AGGTATTATATTGGATATACTGAAATTATCCTCAATCATGTAGGCATTATATTGGATACACTGAAATGTCCTCAGTCACGTAGGTATTATATCGGATATACTGAAATTGTCCCCAATCATACAGGTATTATATTGGATATACTGAAATTATCCTCAATCATGTAGGCATTATATTGGATATACTGAAATGTCCTCAATCATACAGGTATTATATTAGATATACTGAAATGTCCTCAGTCATGTAGGTATTATATTGGATATACTGAAATTATCCGCAATCATGTAAGGTATCCAATATAATGTACTGAAATTGTCCTCAATCATGTAGGTATTATACTGGATATACTGAAATTGTCCTCAGTCATGTAGTTATTATACTGGATATACTGAAATTGTCCTCAATCATGTAGGTATTATACTGGATATACTGAAATTGATCTCAATCATGTATGTATTATACTGGATATACTGAAATTGTCCTCAGTCATGTAGGTATTATACTGGATATACTGAAATTGTCCTCAGTCATGTAGGTATTGTACTGGATATACTGAAATTGTCCTCAGTCATGTAGGTATTGTACTGGATGTACTGAAATTGTCCTCAGTCATGTAGGTATTGTACTGGATATACTGAAATTGTCCTCATATTGGACTAGCAGAAACACCACCGGATGGGTGACTGTTTGTGTAATCATAGTATTCATACCCCATTGAAAAAAAATTAGAAAAAGTGAAAATTTTATAAAAAAGGATTTTTTCTGGGAAGTACTGCATGGGGAAAAGTGTTATGATTGTGCTCTTTGGTCATACACAACTCCTCACATCAAAATGATTCAATGTACAGAGCTCAAAATTGTCATACATTTTACAGATATAAACTGTAATGTTTTATATATTAAAAGTGCTACTCTTTATTGAAAAAATAATAGTTTTTTTAGTACAACATTTAAAATTTACATCAATAAAGATACAATCAAACTCTCATGTACAGTCCTAGTTAAAGTCATGTTCTTGTTGTGAGGAGAGTACTTTTAATTAAAATTGTGTTCTTTTATAAAAAAAATGGTTGTTGCACATATCACAGTTACTTTGCAAAGTATCTGAATCTTGAATACCCAAAATATGAAATTTTTATGGATGTTTGTTTGTGGTGCCATTCAATAGGCGGTGCAAGAGTTTGGGTTACATACACTGACATACAAGCTACATCCCTTATAGTAAGATATACTAAAATTGTCCTCAGTCATGCAAGTATTAACTGCTTGTGATAAGTAAAAAGATTAAAGGTAATAAAACACCACCACCAGACAAGTTTTACCTCACAGTTTTAAAGGATATGCAAGCCTCTCTCTCTCTAACTTTTAGAAGGTCAATAAACAGTAGGCAGATGAACAACGATTGAAGAGTTGTTAATATTATTCTAAATTTCAAGAGGTGATAGGTTGTCAGAGAAATTCTAGGCCAATTATTCTTACTTCTGTAGTAACATTCTAAAGTTTCACAAAAGAAACTTTACAAAATCATTTAGTGATGATATGACAGAAAACTAGTATAGATTTAGCAATGTAAATATTTTCTTGATACATGGATGATTTTCAAAAACCATTTGCAAAGTTCCACACAAAATCACATTGGTATGGGTTAGGGAAAGAACAGTTAATTGGGTTATAGATTAGTTGGATGTGAAAAAACAAAATGTTATAGACTGGAGTTATGAGTGGAGTGCCTCAGAAGCTGATTTTTAGGTCTTTTTTTTTTTCTTATTTACATTAATGGTATTGTTAGGGGAATAATTAGTAACGTTTGCTGATGACATTAAACTTTTTGATATTTCTAGCTGTATTAAAAGATGCTGAAATATTAGAGAATGACTTGGAACCGTTGATATGTTGTTAAGTTAGACATATTTGGCAATGATTATTTATAAGTGCTAGATAATGATTCTGGGTTATTACAATTTGGATCACACATCTAATATTGTTGGGAACCTACTCAGTAGTGTGAATGAAGAAAAAGATCTTGGTAAATTGGTGGATAAGTCATTGAAACAGTGCCATGATGTGCTAGTAGTAAAGCCACCAATTTTAGTACGTCTCTAAATACACGATCTCTTACTACAAATAACTAGTTAGGTCTCACTTGTGTACAGTTTGGTCTCTTTATCTAAGAAATTAATAATGACTTAGGAATTCTGAGGTGTTTCTCAGGATGGAAAACTTAACTTATATGGATAGGTACAAGCCTCTGATTTCTTACCCTGAAGATAACAACATGAAAAATGAAGGATAGGTTTAAATTTGTACTTTACTTAAGGGTAGATGTAAGGATAGCCTAGAAGACCAAACTGTCCCTTGTTGTCAATATGTTATGTTTTAGTAATGTACCTTTAGTGACCTTGAACACCATGATTGCTCCTATGACAGCAAGTTACTTAATTTCTACAGTGTTTGTCTATGAAACTAACAATGCAAATTTCAATCATATATTTTCCTTTGTCATATGATACTATATCTATATTTATTTTCTGTTAAGAAACATCAGCTATAACCTACTTCCTTACTCTACATCATATTTCAAAATGCACTTTCAAAACCGTATTTTCTTCTACTTTTTAATTCACATACCAGTTAATCTCTAATATAAGATGTCATAAGAATTAAATCTAATATATCATGGCAAGAGATAGGTATGCAACACTTATTGCAGCATTAAAATGTAACAAAACAATTCATAACTTATTCACGTATAAATTTTAATACAGGAATATTTTGTTAAAATTTTAGTCTTTGGGTATTTTTAGATCTCAAATTGTTCTAAATTTTCACACTTAACTCAGCTGTTGCGTAATATATATATGAACATTGTTTCATCTGTCCATTTACCATTTTTCTTAATAACTAATGATTGTATGTTATTATATTATTATTTTAGTAATAATCATCTTTGTAACACAATTTTCAGATTTTGCTGAAGATGGAATAAGTTATTACAAAACATTCGAACCTTGTAAATAAAATTTTATATATTTTATCAACCATCTTTATCTTCATTATTAAACTTCGGTTTCCCCACCAAGAGTGCAGTCTTCTTAGAATATCAAGATGTTTTGTGTATAACATTCTAATATCCAATACAATTGTAAAATAGTGAAAAAAAAGATTTTGTAAACTTTACAATTCCTTACTCCACTGAGACATTAGTTTCACCTGTGTAAAGTACTTCTTCTGCTACAATTGGTTTTTACATTTTACTCCAGGAGTTTGCTTTTCATAGAAATTCCAAGGAAACTAATGATAGACTATGATGCCAGTACAACAGTGTTAGTCCGTATCTGTTTCAATATTAAACCACCTCTATTGCCTTAACGAATAGTATTAGTAATTAGAAAACTGACGAAATTGTCAGAAGACAGTTCAGTAGCTATGCTTCCACTAAGTTCCAGTTCTATTTATTTTAATATTAATCATAAGATAGTAAGGTAGTTAGTTGTAATAATATTACTGGTCTTACTGTTAGTAATAGTACTAATACTAGAATTACTACATTACTAGCAGTAATATAGTCAAGTATCAAGTAATAGTATTAACTAAATCAGAATAGTGCAGCAAACAGTGCTATGAGTATGAGTTTACTATGTAACATGTTACAATATTCACTATTAGTAATAGTATTACATTATTTTTAGATAATTACATAATCAAAATTCATGAGATGCGCCAAAAATGTTCATGCTTACCTATAAAGTAATCAAGCGAGGGAACACCAGTTGAGATCAGCAGTTGAGAATTACGAAGTGAAGGCCTTGTGCCTGAAATCTTAGGTATTCCATGCTTTGTTTTCTTTTGAAAACTAGAAACCGCCATGACACACTCGAATCCTAGCACAGCAGTACGGCAAATACACAATAATACTTAATATTATAAATTCACTTGTAAGTTGAAGTAGCGTTACATTTGGAAAAGTAGTAGAAAATACTTTATTTCAAACAAAACTACTCCCCTCGCAACATGAACACAACTTTCACTATGATTGTACGTGAGAGTTTAATTGCATCAAAATGATTCAATGTACATAGTTTACTGATAAAAACTGTAATTTTTTATATATTAAAAGTGCTACAATTTATTGAAAAAAATATAGCTTTTTAAAAACTCCAGTTTTTTAGTACATTTAAAAATTACATTAATAAAGATATTGTTACGTCTCTGGTCGTTAGTTAATTTTCCGTAAAAACTCTTTCCGAAGAAACTTTAGCAATACAAGTCCTTTCTTAAATAAAACTAGTTTATTCTTTCTCAATACAATTTTGCAATACATTTAATTTCCACAGTCACGCTATAACTTAAACAAATGCTATAATTAACAACGAACGAACGATTCACGCGCTTGACTCAATTGTCGTATCTGTCTGCAATTCAATTACCTTGTTGCCGTCACTTCTTGGCGGTCTTATATACAAGAATACCGCACACCTAGTAAACACACGAGGCTTCACGAAGGGACATGAATTTTCTAGAAGCTCATGATGTGTTACTAGCGTCACATGACTTTCGCTGTCGTAACACTGCCCCTTCCTTAGTATTGTTCGTCCCGAACAATAGCCACTTACATTAAACCAAAAAAAATTAACAATAACTTAATTAAATGTACAGAATTTACAAACACAAAATTAAAAGTCAATAAAGTCTCTTAATTTTACAGGACGTTTCTCCTTTCATACTGTTCTCTATCTCGCTGGCTTTTGCTTCACAGGGGATTCATCAGCTCAATCATGAAATGTCCCATTATCGGTAGCAGTCACATTAGTGGTAGTAACTTCATTAATGGCTTCACTGTATTACTTTTCAAAACCGGGTAGAGTTTCTTCTTTGACGGTGGTTTTTTCAGGTGACACATCTTCAGCAGCGTCATTTGTTTCGTTGTTCACTTTGTTCCAACTGAAATGTCCTGGACCGTGATAACACCAAAGCCTGTTGGCATGCACCACTTTTGGCTAACCTCGCCGACCACATTTTATTCGGAAAGTAACGTCTGAGAGACGATCCACTATGTCATATGGGCCTTCCCATGGAGAAGACAACTTAGGAGACTTCCCTTTAGTCTTCCTGCGATTATACAACCACATCTTGTCTCCTGGTACAAAGCTGACTTCAGTAGATCTCTTATCATAACATAGCTTCATGGAATCAGCAGACGTTTTCATGTTTGAATGCACTTGATGGTGAATATCATCCACCCTTTCAGATAACACTTTCACGAACTGTGACACATTTTCAGACAACTCTTCGTAAGGTGGGCGTCCTGTTATCAGATCCACTGGCAACCGAAGTTCCCGACCAAACATCAACTTCGCTGGAGTGTATCCAGTGGCTTCATGCTCTGCTGTCCTATAGGTCATCAACAGTTGAAGGAGTAAGACATCCTAGTCATATTGGCGGCTATTACAAAACTTTGCCAATTCCTGTCCCAGTGTCCAGTTATACTTTTCTACCATCCCATCAGACTGTGGGTGAAGTGGCGTTGTCCTGGTCTTTCGTATGCCAAACAACTTGCAGCATTCATGGATCACAGCTGATTCAAAGATACGGCCTTGATCTGAATACAATTCCTATGGCATACGAAATCTGAAGAAGAAATCACTAATAGCCGAAGCTACGGTTGTAGCTTCCTGATTAGGTATTGCATATGCCTCAGGCCACTTGGTGAAATAATCCATCACCACTCAAATCTACATGTTTCCAGCACAAGTTTGGGGCAAAGGACCAGCAATGTCAATGGCCACTCTTTCCATTGGTGCACCAACTTGATATAACTTCATTGGAGCACATCCCTTATGCTTGGGTCCCCTTTTAGCACAACATGTACTGCATGTCCTGCATCATTCTTCCACATCTCGCCTCATACGTATCCAGTAAAATCTCTGTCTTAGGTGACTCAATGTCTTCTTAACTCCGAGATGTCCTCCTGTTAAACTATCATAGTGTTACGTCTCCGTTTGTTAATTGATTTTTCCGTAACTTCGTTCCAACGAAACTTTAACGAC